AATGGTTGAGCCAAGCCCTAAAGCATTGCACCTCCTCTCAGGTGGGGATGTCAACATGGCCTGTGTCGGAGTCAAAGTAGAACAAGAGGAGTCCTGCGGAGGAGTTGGAGTCATTACCAATGCTGAGCCTCCTAAGAGGTCTCCGTCACGTGATTGGTCGGGAAATCATCCACTGGAAGCCCGCCAATTGACGCCACCGCTCTCCCGCTCCCCCTCGGTAAGGATATTGCAAAAGACATAACAGAAAGAAAAGGTTGTTGGAAGTTTTACGGATTTAAAGGTCTCCTATCATGCAAAATGCACTTTGTGATGTCTTTTATACATAAATGTGTCCCCGGTGTGTCGGGGAACTCACGCAGCGTCAGAAAATAAACCCCTCTCTCTTTTCCTCCGTACCCAAATCTCTAAAAACGGGGAACAACGGAGCTGATGCAGATTTGCGTCTGATATGACGTAATATCTGAAATGTGGACCCACGGCCCAATCAGAAACGTTGCTATCAGAAACAATTCCCGACTGTTTTGGACGTAATATGGTCGGTGTTTACATTAGCATCGCTAACACTCAGAGCTAACCTGTACTGGAGAGAACAAAAGACATAACGGAGGGAGAAGGTTGTTGGACGTTTTTTTTATTACTGCCGAATTATATTCCGTTTTATTCCATTATATTTCTATTTAATTACTGCTATATTTTTACTTAATTTTGTTTTAACTGTGTCTGTGGGTATGTGATATTATGTACACTTATTTAAAAAAAAAATGGTTTGGCCTTATGATGGCTAAAATGTGTTTTTTGTTTTAGTTTTATGTATGTTTTGTGTGTGTGAGGACCCCGGGAAGAATAGTCAAAAGTCAAAGTCAGTCAAGTCAAAGTCAACTTTATTGTCAATCTCAAAACATGTTTGTACACACAGAAACATCTAACTACTGTTTCCCACTGTCCCGAGGTATTAAATAACACATTTCAAACACAAGAACACTCAATAATTACAAAAAAAACACAAAATAACCATTTATCAATGCTCATGCTAATGTGGATCCTAATAAAGAATAAGAATAATAATTCTGCTCTGATGTTTCCTTTCTTTGCACCAACAGGAGGGCTCTCCAGGTAAAGAGCTGCCTCACAGGCTGAGCCCACTGGGACTGAAGGAAGCCAGGACACATGGTAGAGCTGAGGGACACTCCAGCTTCAAGGAAGGTATGTCAAAACTCTTAAAATAGTCTATATAAGTTCAGTGTTTCAGTGTCCTGACTAGTGTTGAAAGAGCTGCCGAGTAATCACATTTAGATTGACAAAAGAACTTGCCCTAGTAGGCTAATAATCATTTAATGGATTGAACTTGTGTATATAAAATATCCCCAGTACCATCACAGTGAAAAACTATTTTCTATCTTGCCTTATTAACTACTGATTTGTTATTTAAAATTAAAAGTTTTTTTAGATACCAAAGGGTTAATGGTTTAACGTCTTTGGTTCTGTTTTACGAATGGCTTGAATATGTTGATTAACTATCGAATGAATCTCAATGAAATTTGGTTCAGGCAGTCAAGGTCCTCGCATTGTAATTTATCTATCCTCAAGTGCAGCCGGCAGGTTGACATTATTGGTTTTGAGTGAAATATCATGGAAATTGAATGATCGGTGTGCAAAACCTGGATACATTTGAATTTGTTTATCCGCTAATTTTGCTTTTAGCCCCACATGACTAAATACCTACAAATATACAGCTGGACTTATGTTTAGCACATGTTAGCATTGTCATTAGGAGCATGTTAGCATGTAGACGTTAGCATTTAGCACTACTCACACAGGTCCTAGTGTGGCTGTAGTGCTAACTGTAGCCTTGCTGTAGTTGTGTTGCCTTCAAATGAAAGTGTTAATTTTATAGGAAGTTTTTTAAACGATTGGCTTGATGGTTGAGTCATGAGAACACTGCTGCTAGTCAACAAAATGTCGGCGTTCAGAAATCATGAAGGCTAATAGGTTAGCGAGCTAAGCCATTTCTGAAAATGTCAACAGTGTTTGTCACATCTCATAAAAAGTCAGATATTTAAGGACATTTCCACTTCATTAGTAAATAATATTACATTTAAATATAGGTTGAGGCTATCTCGTGAAATTTGGTGCAGTCAATCATTTCGGTGTAAAATCCTTTTTGGGTGCTTCCTCTGCAATGGAGTAGTAAAAAAGTTGGACATTTCCAATCTCTCCCACTTAGTGCCTTTAATATTGAGTATGCAGCACTGCAGTTATGTACAATGTGTTAAAACATGTTGTTTCTGCAGCACTCAGTAACGTGAGAGACTGACTTGTCTTCTGATCTCCACTTATTTCACCTCAACATGTATTCACCATTCACCTGAATTTAAAACATTGGTATCAGTACACCTCTACCATTTGTCTACAGACACACACACACACACACAACACACACACACACACACACACACACACACACACACACACACACACACACACACACACACCACACACACACACACACACACACACATACACACACACACGGAAAGTCTATACAATTCTTTTATAACCAACCACACTTTGACGACTCCATATCTTAAGTGCACTATATTCTGCTGCCATTCAACATTAAACAATGCAGTCTGCTGAAAATCGATGCGTAGATGCGACAGTTTGTCTAGCAAAGCGAGGGTGTTGTTTTGGTTCATGAATAGCTCTGGGAGGGGGATCAGGTTTTTATTTATTTAAGTTTCTACAGATTTTGTTCAATCCCTCACATGTGGAGTAAAATGCTCTCTGAGATGCTCCCGAAAGTCTCCGTGCCCTCGAGTCTTTTCACCAGCCCACACTCCTCGCCTTAAAATGTTCTTTAATTCTCTCCACTAGCTGACCTTGGATTGTTCTCTGTCTAAATATTGATCCACTCAAACACTCAAAGTTCTCCCAGAAGCACAAACAACCTCTGCCCTTCAGCACCTCAAAAGTCTTCCTCAATCAATGCCATTAGAAAGGCAGCAGAGAGGCTGAGAAAGTAGTTTGGTGATTTTTTTAGTTTTTTTGACAGAATGTATTTTTCTAGTGTAACCTGTTGTGTCCTGTTAACAGTAATGCCGACCATTGAGAAGCTGCTGAATGCTGACTGGAAGGAGAAACTTCTGGATAAAAGCTCAGTGGGAGCAGGACAACTGAAAGGTCAGTTTTCAAACGCCACTAGCGTTCCTCTATTTACAACATGTTCTACTATTGTCCAAATATCTATTTCCCGCTCCTCATATGCTTTGTTAACTGAATAACACCATGAAACACATTTTATAAGTTACCATGCGGTGTTCCTTGAAAAATAAGGATAAGTTGGGGTAAAATATGAAAATACGAGTCACATCTAGAGAGACAGACACTGGAGGATTTGACTAAGCAAATGATAGATGTTATCAATGGCTTTTAAACTGACACTCAGACAGACCGAGTTGTCATCGTGTAATTATCGCTGTCCATTTGCTGTGACCACACTTACCTCTAATGTGTGTTTGGTGCTGTTATCGCAGGATCTATTAATCTCTATTATTCCTCTCTGTTTTCTCGTTGCTTGTCGTTTTGGTTTGTGATAAAAAACATATTGGCATAAAATAAAGATATGTTCCTCTTGTTGGAATGATAATACATTACAGCAGGGGTGTCAAACTCAAGGCCGGGGGGCCAAATCCGGCCCACAACTTCATTTTATGTGGCCCCGCAAGAGCTTGCAAAAAATATAATACGTTTATTATACGGTTACATGCCACTTTACTGAAGCAGGTTGCCCATAAACTACATGTCCCACAATGCATCTCGTTTTGTGACATGCGCGAAGAGACTTGCAATTATTTGCCCTAGACTTCTGCTTTCAGACGTAGTTGGTAGTTAATTACTAAGTTATTATCCTATCCAATAATAATCCAATTCAGAGGCAATAATGTAATATAATACATTATTTTATATTTATATATTATATATATTTATCTATGTATATTTATATAGTTACAACCAGCCCTTTGAGTGCAACCATAATGCGAATGTGGCCTGCGATGAAATTGAGTTTGACCCCCCTGCTCTACAGTATGGACAAAGTTAAAACTGAAGGAAATATCTGCTCTTTTGTGTCTTAAAACGACAACCAAAACACAAAAGATTTGTGTCAGAAAAATTCATTTTCATGCTTTATGAATTCAAAAGGAGATGTTCACTCATCCAAATATGCCGGTTGCAGTTGTGTAGGAGAGTATAATAAATATAATAATCACGCACAATTCTCTGCATCCCAATGTATTGGTCATATTAACGATTAGCCCCGACTTACTTTAGAGTATTTTAATACTGCTGTAATACGCAAAGAACTGTATACATTGTGTTGTTGAGCGAGAGCAGTTTGCAGGATCTTATTTTCTCAATACATAGTGGAGGGAGGCGTGTGGTGCAGTGGTGTTCGGATCAGGGGAGCACAGGTTCAAACCCCACTGCAGTCAGCATGTCGTTGTGTCCCTGAGACACTTCCCCCCAAATTGCTCTTGTGGGGATTGCCCACAGTATTGAGTTTGTTAGTCGCTTTGGATAAAAGCGTCTAACAAGTGACATGTGATGTGATGTAATGTAATAGTTATGACCCTATTACGCTTTTTGGGGTTTTTCTCTTTTCTTTTGATTCAAGATTCAAGACTTTATTGTCATTTACACATTAGCTACAGTGTAGATATGGCAATGAAACACTGAAGTCACAGGCTCCTCCAACAGTGCAACATATATATATAGGACATAGAACAAATAAACAGATACAATATTGTGTTGTACAGGTTTCTTTGAATGTAAACGGTCTGCAAAGGCTAAAATCCCGGGGATTTTAGCCTTTGCAGACCGTTTACATTCAAAGAAACCTGTACCAGAAAAAAGGTTACAATATTACGATTTATTGAAACTAAATCCAATCAGAGACCCGCAAATACCTTTACAAAACCAAATACCAATTACTGTATTTTATGTTTATTTTACACAATTAGGGACCCAAGGCCGCTTTACATGGTGAACGAACAAAAAGTAAAAAAATCAAATAAATAGCAGAAATTATACTGTCTTTGTCTTTTTAACCCGTTTTATTGTGCCCCTCTCATGAAACTGGCCCCCCCATTAAATTGGTCTAGAACCGCCACTGCCAAGTGTCCTTCCTAAATTTGATAAAGAGTACTCCAGCTCATACATCTCCATGTCACCTAAGTCACATGTTCTACTCATGTCCAAAGTTAATCCATTTTTGGCAGGGCTGTTTTGGCACTACGTCTAAAATATTTAAGATACAAATAAAAATGTGCCCCTTTTATTGCAGTATGTGGTGGCCCCCAAGACTGTACCTCAAATCAGTTAGCCACTTTAGCATTTACATCATTGTTAGCTAGAAGGCTACTTCAGTCATACAACTCACGTGCGTCTTTAACATTTAAAGAAGTAGAGTTTATTAGAAGCAGCATATAGTTTGGCCACTAGGCTCGGGCCTCATCACTCCATAGATATACATAGCACGATGAGCGATGATTAAATAACTAACCCCCCGAGCCTACAGGTGGAAGCTGGGGTGGTGGGGGGGCAGGCAAGCAGCAGCGACGTGGAAGTAGCTGCAGCAATATCAGCAGCAAGCAAAGCATGGAGAGATATCTGGCAGGTTCAATAGAGCGGCATATTAAGGAGACTGTAGAATAGCAAGGGGTGTTATGTATGAATGCAGCATAAGTGCTCGAGTTGACTGCCTGAACTAGCTCGCAGGCTTCGCCCCATTTCTGCTCCGGTGGAAATCTGATGGAGCCCCATCCACCTCTCAATGTCTGCAGGATGTTATGAACTTCCTAACATTTGAAAAGATCAGGTACAAATTGAAAGGAAAGGAAATGGCAGCCCTTTATATCATATTTTAATTCATTGAACGTCCTACCCCCTGACTAAGTCTATATGTCCCCCCTCTAGTTATTCTTTTTTTTTCAAATGTAATAATTGTGTGTTTTTTGCTCTTTTTGGAGTCCAGCTGACCCTCTGACCTTTCTTTCCCCCAGGTACCCCCGAGGCTCTGGCAGAGAAGGAGCTCCAGTTGCTGATGATGATCAACCAGCTGAGCGGTCTGAGAGAGCAGCTCCTGGGAGCGCACTCTGAGCAGAGGAACATGGCCGCCCTGCTGCTGGAGAAACAGCAGCAGCAGATGGAGCTGGCTCGACAACAGCAGGAACAGGTGACAGTCACACAACTCCAGACATATAGGCTTCTGGAGGATCGAGTTTCAAAACAACAGCTAAAAGCCAAAAGTTCAAAACTGGGACTAAGATTCTAAAATGATTTTTCCAGGGTGTCCGCGGGGTCTTAAAAAGTATTAAAAGATGATAAATCAATTTAGCGAAAATGAAGGCTATTAAAAAGTATTAAAGGGTATTTTCCAAGGTATTACATTTTGTAGCTTGTTTTCAATAAGTATATAAATGGTCCAAAGAGGTTGTATTCTACAGTCTGCCTGAATGTAATCATTGTAGGTGTGTAGTGTGATTCTGTGTAGTTTATTTATGGAATCCCGTTGGGTTTGACGTCATCTGAACAGGACATCGCACGCTCACTGCTTGATAGCGCCAAGGTCCGTTTACGCCGGTTGCTAAGCAACATCGTTATGGGGAAATGCAAGTCTGCGTCCAAATGGTTGGAAGATAAGGAGGAAGGACAATCAATACTGTATATAGTCAATGTGAGGTAAAGTGTGTCGCCAAGGTAACCGGTTAGAACTCCAAGTGGCGATGAGGTCTAAAAATGTACGGAAAGGGTCTTAAAAAAGATCTTAAAAGGTTTTACATTTGACTTCAGGATTCCTGCATAGACCCTGTATTTAGTAAGTTTCTGTTGTCAAAAAGGTAAACACTGGGTCAACTTAGAATGCTAATGGCGTAAGATCAGTCAAAGCTTGTCAGATGAACAACATATGTAATGTAAGAAAAAGGACAATTTAAATAACTGTACATTTGTCAGATTTTTGGGGAAATTCTACTTTATTGCATCGTTTTATCACTTATCCAGTTCTTCGTTATGAATTGTATAGCAATGCATGTTCATTTCACATATTTTGTAATTATAGTGTCAATGTACAATGTATAAGATAATAATAATACGTTTTATTTCGAGGCGCCTTTCAGGACACCTAAGGTCGCCTTACAGTGCATTTAAAAGTTAAAACAGCTAAAATTACATTTGATATAATAATAATAATAGATTACATTTGGATAGCGCCTTTCAAGGGACCCAAGGTACATGATGAACAAACAAACAAGAAGGGCAACAAATAAAGTACAGATGAAATAAATAGCATTAGGAGTGGAAGCAGGGGGACTGTGATGGGTTAGGGGTCGAAGGATACAGGATACGATTCGTTCATTGCATTTGGTGGGTTGTCATTGGATCATGGTCCCCTCCACTTTTTGCAATTGTGTGTGTTTGCCACATACATACAGCACGTGATCTGTGTGATAATGACCATGTGTCTTGTGTCTCAGATTGCCAAGCAGCAGCAGCAGCTGATCCAGCAGCAGCACAAGATCAACCTTCTTCAGCAGCAGATCCAGGTCAGCCATCAGGCATGTTCACCTACCAGCAGCACAGATATGGGATGTTAAATTACAACCGTTTCAGACCAATGAGAGAAGTTATTTTCTGTAAGGTGTATCTGTTTTGCCTCGTCCCAGCAGGTGAACATGCCCTACGTGATGATCCCGGCTTTCCACCCCAACGCACAGTCCCTCCAGGTCTCCTCTGACCAACAGATGACTTTACCTCTGCAGCCAATCCCCTGCAAACCAGGTCAGTCTTTTGGGAGGGTTCAGTCTTGGGAAAAGTTGAGTTGGGACCAGAGATGGCAAAAGTACACACATCCTTTACTCAAGTAGAAGTACAGATACTCGTGTTTAAAAATACTCTGATAAAAGTAGAAGTACTGACTAAACTTCTTTACTCAAGTTAAAGTAAAGAGGCTTTGAAATGTACTTCAGTAAAAAGTACCCATAACTAGCAGCTGTTTTAAAGAGTACCTGACCTCCCTTTATATTAATAGAACAATAATGTCATTGTTAGCTAATGAATGTTTCCATGCTGAACAACGGCAACATGACAACGTTTCCATTGGTCCCTCTTCTTTAGAGAAGACCAGGAAATGATGGATACACGGATCGTGTTCAAATCAATAGGCACGCAATGACTCTAAAGAATAATGATCACGCCTCAAACACACATTCAGACTAAAGGAACCAGCTGTTTGGAAAATGAGAGAAGTAGAAAGTACAAGTATTTGAGTTCAACATGAGAGAAGTAGAAAGTACAGGTATTTGAGTTCAACATGTAAGAAGTAGAAAGTACAGGTATTTGGGTTCAACATGTAAGAAGTAGAAAGTACAGGTATTTGAGTTCAACATGAGAGAAGTAGAAAGTACAGGTATTTGAGTTCAACATGTAAGAAGTAGAAAGTACAGGTATTTGAGTTCAACATGAGAGAAGTAGAAAGTACAGGTATTTGTGTTCAACATGTAAGAAGTAGAAAGTACAGGTATTTGAGTTCAACATGTAAGAAGTAGAAAGTACAGGTATTTGAGTTCAACATGAGAGAAGTAGAAAGTACAGGTATTTGAGTTCAACATGTAAGAAGTAGAAAGTACAGGTATTTGAGTTCAACATGTAAGAAGTAGAAAGTACAGGTATTTGAGTTCAACATGTGAGAAGTAGAAAGTACAGGTATTTGGGTTCAACATGTAAGAAGTAGAAAGTACAGGTATTTGGGTTCAACATGTAAGAAGTAGAAAGTACAGGTATTTGAGTTCAACATGTAAGAAGTAGAAAGTACAGGTATTTGTGTTCAACATGTAAGAAGTAGAAAGTACAGGTATTTGAGTTCAACATGTAAGAAGTAGAAAGTACAGGTATTTGAGTTCAACATGAGAGAAGTAGAAAGTACAGGTATTTGTGTTCAACATGTAAGAAGTAGAAAGTACAGGTATTTGAGTTCAACATGTAAGAAGTAGAAAGTACAGGTATTTGAGTTCAACATGTAAGAAGTAGAAAGTACAGGTATTTGAGTTCAACATGTAAGAAGTAGAAAGTACAGGTATTTGTGTTCAACATGTAAGAAGTAGAAAGTTCAGGTATTTGTGTTCAACATGTAAGAAGTAGAAAGTACAGGTATTTGGGTTCAACATGTAAGAAGTAGAAAGTACAGGTATTTGTGTTCAACATGTAAGAAGTAGAAAGTACAGGTATTTGAGTTCAACATGTAAGAAGTAGAAAGTACAGGTATTAGTGTTCAACATGTGAGAAGTAGAAAGTACAGGTATTTGAGTTCAACATGTAAGAAGTAGAAAGTACAGGTATTTGTGTTCAACATGTAAGAAGTAGAAAGTACAGGTATTTGAGTTCAACATGTAAGAAGTAGAAAGTACAGGTATTAGTGTTCAACATGTGAGAAGTAGAAAGTACAGGTATTTGAGTTCAACATGTAAGAAGTAGAAAGTACAGGTATTTGAGTTCAACATGTAAGAAGTAGAAAGTACAGGTATTAGTGTTCAACATGTAAGAAGAAAGTACAGGTATTTGAGTTCAACATGTAAGAAGTAGAAAGTACAGGTATTAGTGTTCAACATGTAAGAAGTAGAAAGTACAGGTATTTGAGTTCAACATGTAAGAAGTAGAAAGTACAGGTATTAGTGTTCAACATGTGAGAAGTAGAAAGTACAGGTATTTGAGTTCAACATGTAAGAAGTAGAAAGTACAGGTATTAGTGTTCAACATGTGAGAAGTAGAAAGTACAGGTATTTGTGTTCAACATGTAAGAAGTAGAAAGTACAGGTATTTGAGTTCAACATGTAAGAAGTAGAAAGTACAGGTATTAGTGTTCAACATGTGAGAAGTAGAAAGTACAGGTATTTGTGTTCAACATGTAAGAAGTAGAAAGTACAGGTATTTGAGTTCAACATGTAAGAAGTAGAAAGTACAGGTATTAGTGTTCAACATGTAAGAAGTAGAAAGTACAGGTATTTGTGTTCAACATGTAAGAAGTAGAAAGTACAGGTATTTGGGTTCAACATGTAAGAAGTAGAAAGTACAGGTATTAGTGTTCAACATGTAAGAAGTAGAAAGTACAGGTATTTGAGTTCAACATGTAAGAAGTAGAAAGTACAGGTATTAGTGTTCAACATGTGAGAAGTAGAAAGTACAGGGTATTTGAGTTCAACATGTAAGAAGTAGAAAGTACAGGTATTTGTGTTCAACATGTAAGAAGTAGAAAGTACAGGTATTTGAGTTCAACATGTAAGAAGTAGAAAGTACAGGTATTAGTGTTCAACATGTAAGAAGTAGAAAGTACAGGTATTTGTGTTCAACATGTAAGAAGTAGAAAGTACAGGTATTTGAGTTCAACATGTAAGAAGTAGAAAGTACAGGTATTTGAGTTCAACATGTAAGAAGTAGAAAGTACAGGTATTTGTGTTCAACATGTAAGAAGTAGAAAGTACAGGTATTTGGGTTCAAAATGTAAGAAGTAGAAAGTACAGGTATTTGAGTTCAACATGTAAGAAGTAGAAAGTACAGGTATTTGGGTTCAAAATGTAAGAAGTCAAAGTAAAAAGTCGTCAGAAAAAATAAGTAGTGGAGTAAAGTACTGATACCAGAAAAATGTACTTAAGTACGTAACAAAGTATTTGTACTCCAGTACTTCCCACCTCTGGTTGGGACACACTGGGTGCCTGGAAAAATGTAATGTTTGTTAATGGCTCTTATCATTTGGTACTAGTTCTGGTACCATGCCAAAGTTCCTGAGGCCCAATTTCCCGAAACCCAAATGGTCTGAAAAACTGTCAGATACTGTTCTGAAACGTCCAACATCAGAAGACATTTCTTTTAAAAATAAATATGAACTACAAGATAACTATGTCTGAGTGTTGCCCTTCTGATTGAGTTTTACCTTTTCTATTTGGTTGAATTGTCTTTATAAAAATATTAATTAAGCATCATAAAACATATGTATTGCAATTCATAAAGGGCTTATTAATGTTATGTATTACATGTTATACATCAAAGGCTTCTCTCCAATAGTTCCTTGAACTTTGGGTTTCTTCATTTCCTTTTTTAAAGCTGTTCTTACAATTCGATTCAATTCAAATACCTTTTATTAGCATGACCATCATTACATGCAGTATTGCCAAAGCTCTGTACAATTGCAAGATCCAATTTGTCTTTATTATAGTTATTACACTCTCTGTTACGAGACAGAATGAACACTGCAAAGACTGGGCTTTTAACGCCTGAAACTTTGTGCCAAAAAGTCGCCAGCTCTGCAAGTTTCCATCTCGTCTTGCAAAGGGTCTTTTAAGAAACTTAAACGCACGTCAACTCAAGGTCTACTTTAAAGGAAATTGAAAGCCATCAGCTATAAATGTAGAACAATACGGTTGAAAGTAGCTTTCACACACTCTCAGTTAACAGCTTTGTGCAGCCGTTGTTTCTCCGTCTTAAAAGCTTCGCTCGAGGCTGACCTTCTCCAGTCTATATCTTTTCAAACCTAAAAGACACAAGGCCACTCTTTAAAAACAGTGTGTGTGTGTGTGTGTGTGTGTGTGTGTGTGTGTGTGTGTGTGTGTGTGTGTGTGTGTGTGTGTGTGTGTGTGTGGTGTGTGTGTGTGTGTGTGTGTGTGTGTGTGTGTGTGTGTGTGTGTGTGTGTGTGTGTGTGTGGTGTGTGTGTGTGTGTGGTGTGTGTGTGTGTGTGTGTGTGTGTGTGTGTGTGTGTGTGTGTGTGTGTGTGTGTGTGTGTGTGTGTGTGTGTGTGTGTGTGTGTGTGTGTGTGTGTGTGTGTGTGTGTGTGTGTGTGTGTGTGTGTGTGTGTGTGTGTGTGTGTGTGTGTGTGGTGTGTGTGTGCTGTTCACAAGTCTTTTTTTTGCAAGTCTCAAGTCTTTGGTCACGAGTCCAAGTAAAGTCTCAAGTCTTTGTGGGGTGAGACTTGATCAAGTCTCAGGTCTTTGGTCACGAGTCCAAGTCAAGTCTCAAGTCTCTAAAAAATAAAAGTCTCATGTCTCTTCTGGTTGTAATAAGCCTTCTATTGTCTGCTGCTATCCAGTCTGTTAAGAATACTGCACAGCTATATCTAAGAAATGCAAAGCATTTACTGTATTATTATCACTCCTATATCTATTAGCATACAGTATCAGTACTGATTAGTTGTTTGTTATATGATCACTTTAAACAGGCTATTGCAAAGCAATATGAGGACAAACATCACACTTTAGCTAAATGCAAACAACTTATAAGCAAAACACTTCAGAATCAGAAATCAGTATCACAAATACTTTATTAATCCCCCGCAGGGAAACTGTGTTAAAAGTACTTCAAAGTAAACATTTGTTCTGTGCCATTTGCAACTAAAAAACTATTGCTGCAATATTATCTGAAATCTACTGAACTGGTGATATTAAAACATGACCTGTTCCAAAAGAGATATCTACCATTAACACCATTTACCAGCCAGATGCTGGTAAATCATGCAAGTGGCTGGTACTGTATGTTGCACGCACCAGCCACAAATAACAATGGCAATCTATTGAGTGGCTGGTAACATTTCAACATTCACTAGGCTAGCCATTTGGCCAGTGGACAAAAATGTTAAAATTTGACCTCTGCAACCGTATTGTTTAATTACACTGGGTCTCTAATGACATATTTTAAGTCTACTATAAATAAACATATTCCTCTATCCTCTCACTCAAACCCAGTGTAATGGTAACCTGATAAACCTGTAACATTAACGTTACGTGGTCAACAATAAACCTGTAACCTGCCTATAAACCGACAGATGTATTTATGTATGTAACTATGTATTTTTCTACGTTTAACGTTAGCCAGTAGATGGTGGCAGCGGAACGTAATGATTAACGTTACCGACCTTTTTTACGTCATGTCAAGAGTTGGATGTCAACGCCACTCAACGCAAACAAGTGTGACAAGCAAACATTCACTCATCTTTTCAAATATTCAGTTACAAAGCTAGTAGCAAGCTAAGTTAACATTACATAGCTGATGCTGAGCTAAACATGTTTGCTAACCGTCCATATGCGTTAATGTGACTGACCTCTCCGGGTGAGTTTTCAAGTGCCTGATGACATTTGACGTTGTTGCACCAGCATCCTTGATTTTAATATTGCAGACTTTGCAGTGTGCGCTCCTTTTGTTGGTGCCGCCGGCGTTTTGTTCGAAGTGTTTATAGTTGAACCTAATTACAAGCGGTACAGCTGCAGGTGTGCCGCCGGTCGCCATGGTGTTACCATAATGTTAATGTTAAAGGTGGGGTAGGTAAGTTTGAGAAACCGGCTCGAGATACACTTGTTGTTATATTCCATGGAATGCTCTTAACATCCCGATCGCCGGCCCGGCTAAAATAACTGGATGGCCTACCTGCCTGTCAGCCGTCCATCGGGGCACAAACTTATCTCGTGCCCTCATTGGTCATGTGCGCGTTCGTGTGTGTTGGAGGGGGGGCTCTGTGAGGAAGTGGCAGATTTTCTCCGGTTGTGTATTTTCTAATTCTAGCGATCTCGAGCCGGTTTCTCAAATGTACCTACCCCACCTTTAATACGCCAAAAATAGAAAACACAATGATTGTTCACGAGTCCCAAAACACGAGTCCAAGTCGAGTCCGAAGTCTTTTGAGCAAGAGTCCAAGTCAAGTCTGAAGTCTCTGTGTGTGCGACTTAAGTGCGACTCGAGTCCGAGTCACAGACTCGTGTGTGTGTGTGTGTGTGTGTGTGTGTGTGTGTGTGTGTGTGTGTGTGTGTGTGTGTGTGTGTGTGTGTGTGTGTGTGTGTGTGTGTGTGTGTGTGTGTGTGTGTGTGTGTGTGTGTGTGTGTGTGTGTGTGTGTGTGTGTGTCAAAATGTTCACACACACCTTAGGATAGGGTTAGGGTTAAGGACACCACTAAAACATGATCTACTCCAGTAGGGACTTCATGTTTTTTAAAGAAATCATGTTCCATTGAACAAATGAACCCAAAACAACCCTCATCCTTAAGTACCAGTCATGAGTCGATGCATGTCCCTTACACATTTCCTTTCTTCTTTTAAATGTGCCTTGTTATTATGATGTTCATAAGGTCAAAGTATATTAAGTTTAAAGGGATAGAGAAAAAGCTAGACAGCATATAGCGAGTGCAGGAGAATAACAGACAGTTAGCTTTAGGATCAAAGAGCGGCCATCATCATTCCTGCCTCTTTAGTTGCCGTGTTACCGGAAGCGGCATTCATATTTTCAATAACAAACTCGCCTATCATTACGAAAAAGTAGATTACGCTATTCAAAATAAATGGAATAGTTAGTTATTAGTATTGAACAACTAATAATCTAAATGAAAATACATGAAAATAATTATTTATCCGTCCGTTTTTATCAGTTATTATTAGTTTTACAATCACTTACCGTTAGCTAGCAAGTGCTAACAGACACCACACTTTGATACAAATCTTCAATCGTATCAGAGTAACCTCACAGCTGTTGGAGTGTTCTTGTTTTTCATACATCACTTTTTGACCTCCTCCAGCAGTGGACTATCCCATGCAGCTGCTGCCAAACCCTCACGCCCCCCCCACCAAGAGGAGCAGTGGTTCCTTCCGACAGGTACAGTGTTGTGTGTCGGCCTTTTGAATGTTCATCACAATGGAACAGACTCATCATTTGTGACTAGTTAATCTATTACCAATATAATCTAAGTATGCAAACGACTCATGCTTTTTTTTTTAGCATTAAGCATTTCACGACCACCTTGTAAACAAACTATACACTGCACAGTTTTGTTAATTGTTGAATTACGCATTTTGGTTGCATTGATTTGATTGGAGGGCGACGGGCATTGCTAATTCAAACAAGACAACCAATCAAAATCAACAGCATGAAAGTATTATTCTACATATCACTAATATTTTCAGTATGTAGATAGGTGTGTGTGTGTGTGTGTGTGTGTGTGTGTGTGTGTGTGTGTGTGTGTGTGTGTGTGTGTGTGTGTGTTGTGTGTGTGTGTGTGTGTGTGTGTGTGTGTGTGTGTGTGTGTGTGTGTGTGTGTGTGTGTGTGTGTGTGTGTGGTGTGTGTGGTGTGTGTGTGTGTGTGTGTGTGTGTGTGTGTGTGTGTGTGTGTGTGTGTGTGTGTGTGTGTGTGTGTGTGTGTGTGTGTTAAAGAAAGTACTTCCCTTTTCTGGTATGTGTGAGGCTGAAAAAAGCTTTCCGAACGCACCGCACCCTTTGTTCAAATGTGTGTGGTATAGGTGTGTGTGTGTGTGTGAACTGTATTTGCACGGCTGGTTCTCAAGCAGAGATAGACCAACAGCGCTTAGATAAACAAAAGGATGATGTGAGTGTGAAGACAAAAGAGCAGGAGATTCTACAAAGGTGTGACCGATGTGCTCCGACCTGCAAAACCGTAATACGTGCACACCCTTGCCCTTTGCAGTTGCCTCTGAATGTGTGTGTGTGGCCCAACCCCTGCTCATCTGCTTTGTGTGTGTGTGTGTGTGTGTGTGTGTGTGTGTGTGTGTGTGTGTGTGTGTGTGTGTGCAGGAAGCCAGTCAGCCCTTGAACCTGACCTCCAAGCCCAAGGGTCATGATCTGGGGAAAACCCAGAGTCCACTGGGTCTGGAGCTGGGGCTGCATGGAGCGTACCGGCACCGAGACGTCCAGAGAGAAACGACCAGAAGCCCCCAACGAACCACACTCAGTGAGTTGAACTCTGGAAGAAGTACTCAGGTCTTGTACTTGAGGAAAAGTAGAAGTACTCAGGTCTTGTACTTGAGTAAAAGTAGAAGTACTCAGATCTTGTACTTGAGGAAAAGTAGAAGTACTCAGGTCTTGTACTTGAGTAAAAGTAGAAGTACTCAGGTCTTGTACTTGAGTAAAAGTAGAAGTACTCAGATATTGTACTTGAGGAAAAGTAGAAGTACTCAGATATTGTACTTGAGGAAAAGTAGAAGTACTCAGATCTTGTACTTGAGTAAAAGTAGAAGTACCAGAGTGTAGGAATACTCTGTCACAGAAAAAGTCCTACATTCAAAATGTTACTCAAGTAAAAGTAGAAAAGTATTCTCATCTAAATATAGTGAAAGTAGCGACAGTAAAAGTAGTCATTGTGCAGATTGGTCCATTTCAGAATAATATATATGATATGTTTTATAATGATTGATCATGAAAGTGTTCTCAAAGCTGGTAAAGGTGCAGCTAGTCTGAATGACTTTGTAGACTGCAGGGTAGCTGGTGGATTTACTCCAGGTGGAACTAAAGTCTGATTTAACACTTGGTTAGATTTCACATCATTCATCCACATCTGTGAAGCAACTGAAGGTATTCAATACATGTAGTGGCTCACACACACTAACCTCCTCAACGACCTTTCATACAAACATGCAGCCCATAGGCTTCATTGGAAAAAGCGGAAAACCCCAGAAATAAACTACGAAAAATAATAAAATGTTACAAAATTCTACAAACACAAGTCAATAGATAAGTGTTAAATAAAAAGAATACAAGTACAGCATCACTCCAAATAGAAAGGGCCTTATGTTTCTTTTAAAAATACAAAGCCATCTTGCCTTTCTAATACCCAGAGGTGGTGAGTTCCACAGTTCACGGAGCAAAACAAGAGAAGACACTCACTGACGCCGTTATGGGACGCATCAGGAACATTTAAAGGAAAAGCAGTGGAGGACCTTATTGATCTGGCTGCAACATGAACGTATGTTTGGTGAAGCAAGGTCATTCAAGGCTTTCAAAACCAAATGAGAAAATAAATGCAGTGCTTGAGACACCCTCTGTGTTTCTGGTTTGTCACAGTAACAGGGTCTCCTTCATGCTGATACCATTATTATAGAACAACTAGTACGTGGTATGCTAAGGGGGCGGGACATCTCTAAGCGGTTGACCAATCACAACCAAGCTGGCCAGCTAACCAATCAGAGCAGACTGGGCTCTGGTTTCAGACAGAGGGTGAAAGGAGGTTCTGCAGCACAGGCAGTATGAGAGCTTTTTGGACATTAAAGCATGGAGACATGTCATGGCCCCCTTTTAATGAGCGCTATCAACCACATCGGCAGTTCAATCAGGAGAGACGGTTTTTATGTAAAGATACATATTTATTGCAAAGATACACAAATGAATGTAATGGTGATTTTGGCGATTAGGCCCCGTTGTGCAGGAAGTATCATTCGGGAGGGGAGAACCGATCCGATGAAACCCCCCGGGGTCTAGACACTGGTGGTGGTGAATGGATAGTGGGGGTCGGTCTGAAGGGGAGGGGCTTAGCTTTACCCTGGATTCAGAGGGACAGGAGGAGAAAAGGGGGGGAGGAGGGTTGCGTAGAGTCGCCTGAAATGACAGCTGTCGGAGGGGAGAGCAGACTTAAAAGGTTTGGCAGAGCACTATGATAGGCTCTTGGGAATAGAGCGAAGTGATTGGTTAAGCTGGAGAGTGACGCCCCCGATCACTTATTGAGAGGAGAGAGAGTAGTAAATGGAGAGTGAAGACGGTCGAACTTACGCTGAGCTTCATTAGTTCACCTCCTAGCAGGATGTATATACTGAGGAAACAGAGGCTGTACGTGAATACATAATTTACGACTAGTATTACAAATGTAATCTAAGTTTGCAAATTACTCATCATTTTTTCAATTGGGCAATAAAGCTAGCCACCTTGTAAACAAACTATAAGCTGCACATTTATGTTAAGCCCTATTCTGATTTCAGTTAGACGGAAAAAAGTTGGATTTCGAGCACTAAAAGGCATTTTGGTTGCATTGATCTGATTAGCAGACGACGGGCAAATTCAAACAAGAAAACCAATCAATCAAAAGCCAAAAGAAGTGCAGATTGAAATCAACAGCATTGAAGCATTATTCTACACAAACATATATTCTTCATGTATGTTTTTATGTTCTTCCATTGACCTGTGTTATTGTTGTTAGGTTTCCTTGGAGACGGAGACGTTGTCACCCAGGCGATCCACGACGCCCAGCAGCTCCTGAGAGGCCACGGCAGCCGAGAGAGGGACATGGAGAGAGAGAGGGATGTGGGAGCCAAGATGGTGAGCTGATTTAAAGATGATCATATTGCTTCGACTGAGAACAAATCCCATACTGTGTGTTTCTCAATCTCGAGTAAGGATGCTCCAGAGCCACTATTTCAAGCATACTACGTCATCGAGTGCCGCCGAAGGACTGTTCCAATGTCCAGCATACTTTGAATTCTACCGGGTGTTTCTCAATCTCGAGTACGCTTGCTAGGTAGCACATGTCTTCTGAGCGTCTTGCTTCAGAAGCGAGGCAAGAATACTTCCTGGAAAACGAAGAGTGGAACAGGCGAGCAAGTGTGCAGGTGTGCGTCATATGAGAGGCCCCGCCTTACATTTTCCGCCACAGATTTGGGGAAATTGGTCCGTGCGCAAAGCATTGTGGGGATTTTAAGACCGCGGAGTCTACTCATGTGCAGCCTCGAAATTTCTCCAAAGGAAGTACGCCGGGCTCGGTAGAATTCCAAGTATGCTGGACATTGGAACAGTCCTTCGGCGGCACTCGATGACGCAGTATGCTTGAAATAGTGGCTCTGGAGCAGCTTTACTCGACATTGAGAAACACCCACCGAGCCCGGCGTGCTTCGTTTGGAGAAACGTCGAGGCTGCACATGTGTAGACTCTGTGGTCTTAAAATCCCCACAATGCTTTGCGCACGGACCAATTTCCCCAAATCTGTGGCGAAAAATGTAAGGCGGGGCCTCTGCACACTTGCTAGCCTGTTCCACTCTTCGTTTTCCGAATACTAGGAAGTATTCTTGCCTCGCTTCTGAAGCAAGACGCTCGGAAGACATGTGCTACCTAGCAAGCGTACTCGAGATTGAGAAACACCCGGTGTGTTCGTGTTAGTGTTTACTTCCTCTCTGTCTTCCTCTGCTGTTCCCTTTAGTGTTTACTTCCTCTCTGTCTTCTTTTGCTGTTCCCTTTAGTGTTTACTTCCTCTCTGTCTTCTTCTACTGTTCCCTTTAGTGTTTACTTCCTCTCTGTCTTCTTCTACTGTTCCCTTTAGTGTTTACTTCCTGTCTGTCTTCTTCTGTTGATTTCTCTGACATCCAGCTCGTTGTCTTTTAACCGCTTTCCTTTTTGTTGCGATCTCTTTCTTGACTGGGGACAGGTTGGCCATCATGACTCCAAAGTTTCGTGATCTCCACAAATATAAAAATGAATAATCCAGAAGTATTTCATGATGTTCTCTGATGGAGAAAGCTAATGTTAGTTGTCGACAGCTGCGGATTGATATGACTGCGCATAGTCCCGTGATCCCCCTTAGCAGTGATCTGTTAACAAGTATTAACCACCTCTGAAATGTCCAAATTGACCAATCACAATCGAGTATTCAACTAAGCCATGTAATAATCTTTACTAACATGTGCTTGCCTCTATATTTGATAAGCTGACGATGTTAAAATACCTCGTACAAGCCCACTACAAACAATTATCCTTTTAATGTCATTATCCAGAGTTTGTAAATGAGGAAGCCCTCCCAGTCTGTCTCTGACCCTCCAGCTGACTTCTAGGGGTCTAATGGGGGGTTTTAGAGTCTGGTTAAGAGTCTGGTTTAGGGTTTCAGGGGTTCGTGCTTCTCCAGAGGATTCAGAGGCTGCAGAATATCCCAGCTGCACAGAAGCACATCGTCTCCGTATGACCGGTGTTGCCTTCTGGAGAGTAAACAGTGTCTGGAAAAGACAAAGACGTTATGTGTCTGTTGTTTCTATTCTTAGTCATTGAAACAGGGTGTTCAGTATCCCCTGACAAAGATCGAGTGTTGTTATTCAGCTTTGTGCGAGTGCAGTCATGCGCTGCAGTGAAAACACAAAATATTTGCACACATGACACAAAATGTGACAAAATCTGTGATAAAAGTACATTTACTCGAGTACTCTTACGAACTATTTTGACCTACTTGAGGATTTCCATGTAATCCTACCTTGTACTTCTACTCCGCTGCATTTCAAAGGCAAATATAGTACTTTTTCACACTATATTGATTTAACACTTGTCTTTACTTTATACATAAAAAAACGGTAGTGTTAGACGAAGTACTCAGATCCTTTACTTTCTGTAAATAAAAGTACAAATAATATGGTTTTAAAATACTCCATTACAATTAAAAGTCCTGATTTCAAAATCTTACTTTTATAAAAGTACACAAGTATTAGCATCACGAGTGTCACAAGTATAGTGCACTTGTTGCACACAGAAGAATAAGAACTATTTTAACATAGTTAATGCATACTGAGTACTTTTACATTTGATACGTGAAGTACATAACCTGGTAATAGTTCTAATTAGTGTGTAACACTTAGCTAGCGCTCCAACACATTCAACGTGATAGGCTGAGGGGCGGGACATCTTTAAGCTGGTCGACCAGTCACAACAAAGCCAGCCAGCTTACCAATCAGAGCAGACTGGGCTCTGGTTTCAGACAGAGGGTGAAAAGAGGTGCTGCAGCACAGGCAGTATGAGAACAATAAAGAGCTTTTTGAACATTAAAGCATGTCTCATGTCCCAGTAGAGACATGAGACAGTAGAGACATGAGACAGTAGAGACATATCACAGTAGAGACATGTCCTAGTAGAGACATGTCCCAGTAGAGACATGAGACAGTAGAGACATGTCCCAGTAGAGACATGTCCCAGTAGAGACATGTCCTAGTAGATACATGTCCCAGTAGAGACATGTCCCAGCAGAGACATGTCCCAGTAGAGACATGAGACAGTAGAGACATGAGACAGTAGAGACATGTCCCAGCAGAGACATGTCCCAGTAGAGACATGAGACAGTAGAGACATGTCCCAGTAGAGACATGTCCCAGTAGAGACATGTCCTAGTAGATACATGTCCCAGTAGAGACATGTCCCAGTAGAGACATGAGACAGCAGAGACATGTCCCAGTAGAGACATGAGACAGTAGAGACATGAGACAGTAGAGACATGTCCCAGCAGAGACATGTCCCAGTAGAGACATGAGACAGTAGAGACATGTCCCAGCAGAGACATGTCCCAGTAGAGACATGAGACAGCAGAGACATGTCCCAGCAGAGACATGAGACAGTAGAGACATGAGACAGTAGAGACATGTCCCAGCAGAGACATGTCCCAGCAGAGACATGAGACAGTAGAGACATGTCCCAGTAGAGACATGTCCCAGCAGAGACATGAGACAGTAGAGACATGAGACAGTAGAGACATGAGACAGCAGAGACATGTCCCAGTAGAGACATGAGACAGCAGAGACATGTCCCAGTAGAGACATGAGACAGCAGAGACATGTCCCAGCAGAGACATGAGACAGTAGAGACATGTCCCAGTAGAGACATTTCCCAGTAGAGACATGTCCCAGCAGAGACATGAGACAGTAGAGACATGTCCCAGTAGAGACATGTCCCAGCAGAGACATGAGACAGTAGAGACACTAAATATGAACATGAAATGTAGCAGAATCCTATTTAACTAAAAGATCTGAGTACTCTGCCTTCAGAACATCTTGCACTTGTTGTTCTACTTCTCCGTCGTCTATAAATTAGCATTACGTGTTTTCTCTGGCCCGCGACTGAGAACCATGGCTGTTATTCTTTGTTTTGCTTCTTGTAAAAATGTTCTTCTATTCTGGTCTTGGTCGTTCATTCGGAGGTGGCTGATACTTTGCTCTCGGCCTGGCGGAGGAACAGCTGTCGCAGCGCCACAAAGGCCTCTGAGTGGCATTGAGAGAGCCACCTGCCCTGGCTCTTTGTCCAACACTGTACTCTGTGGCTCTCCTCCATTATCACTCTGCATCTCTATCGCTGCTCGAACAAACACCGATGACTGACCTATTTCGGTATCACACTCCACTGGATGAATAATGTTTTACAGCACGATAGACATTCCTATTTCTCCTTCACCTCTCCTCCCTCGGACAATAAACACGGTTCTTCCTCCTCCATGGCGTTGTCATTTCCTTCCTTTGCATTTACAGCTCTGCATTTCAACAGCAGCTGATATGGAGAGCGTGCCGTGTCTTTACCTTAAATAGCTCTCTGTGAAACACATGCGTGCCACGAGCATCGGGTCATCGTTTTTACTGCAGCAGAAATTCAAATCTTCCCTTTGTGCTCAGAGTGTGAATACGTGTGTGGCTTAACTGCGTGTCTGACTCCATTTGTCTTTTTTATGTCTTCAGGAGTATAAGGAATCTCCTCGGAGCGAGAGGATTTCTCATGTGGAGAGAGGAGGTGAGGAGCACCTCAGCAGTGATTCTGAGGGTAGGTGTCCCTGAAGGAGCCTGACTCATGAAGATAGCGTTATCCATTAATGTGTTTATGTACAACCTACTATTTCAAAATAGTAGTTATTATTGAAAAAAAAAAGAAAGAAGATGCCTCAGATTGACATTTAAAAATCCCAAAATAACTCCCAACACCACCTCGAAGTTCAGCTGTATCAGAAAAGTTCAGTATCATAAGGAAGTGGGGGCGGTGGTGGCGAAGTCGATAGGGGCTTGGCTTGGCAACTGGAAGGTCACCAGTTCAAGTCCCGGCAAGACCAAGTGCTACCGAGCAAGGCACCGTTCCCCACACTGCTCCCCGGGCGCCGTTCAAAATGGCAGCACACTGCTCCTAACACTAGGATGGGTCAAATGCAGAGAAGCAATTTCCCCACGAGGGATTAATAAAAGGCCATCTTAAGTGTGGCAGAAAGCTGAACATAAGATGTGCAGAATTGAAGATGGGGGGATGTAATCTTAACCTCATGTGATGACGGGTTTTGTTGTACCTGTAAGTTAGCTTCCTCGACACAAATCTGTGATTTTTCCATTGGATTTCAGTCTATTGCAGGAAAGAAGTTATCTTGCAAACACACGTTTATCAACACCTTTTGTTCATCATCTTCACCACTTTGTGATGTTCTACGTGTAAATGCAATCGGCTAGGTTATAAACAAAGCGTGTTGCTAAGCTAAATGCGGCTAATGTTCAGGGCGTTTAGTCGTCTCTTTTAGTCATTTGTTAACAACCGTTGTTTTTATGACACAGAAGCTCCTTGGGTTTGACTTGAATCCGTTTTAGCAGGATTCATAGAACATATAGCATACCGTACATTTGTAGAAATATCACCATTTTAAGCTTACATTTGTTCATTTTCTCTGAAGGACAATTGGAAATGTGAAAAGCGACTATAAATATTCCGTTTTTACAGTTTTTGGATATGATAAAACGTGAAATTTGTACGATTAATAAAGAAAACATAAGTAAACACACTTTTAGGGCAGGTTGAGGGGTTCAGAAGACCCATCCGTTTGCTCTGCTCCTCTGACTGTGGCCCTCTCTCTCTTCTAGGGGCCCTTCCCAACTCTGTCCCAGGAAACTACACTGAGACCCGCCCCCCCCCCACCTCCGCACACATCAAGAGACCCATGAACGCCTTCATGGTTTGGGCCAAGGACGAGCGGCGGAGGATCTTGCAAGCGTTCCCCGACATGCACAACTCCTCCATCAGCAAGATCCTGGGTGAGCACCATGTGGGAGGAGGGGGAGGGGGGGAATGTGCCTCTATTCTGAGACGCTGTCTGGCACATGGGAGGGCACGGACAACCACCTGCCTGTCCTCCAGACACACACACACACACACACTGGCATGAACCCTTTTCTTGGAGCAAACATTTACATTCCATTATATTGTGGAGCTTGTTGTTGGAGCAACCTTCACTCAGACACACACACACACACACACACACACACACACACACACACACACACACACGCATGCATGCAAGTTATGCACATTGTAACAATGTTGATTGCTGAAATACCTCATGTCAGTTTTACACAATATCTACAGTGGTTTATGACTCTGGATGGTTCTCTCGATGTGTTGTGATTTAGTGCCCAGACATTTTTATGGTGAAATGTATACAAGCCCAAAACATTTCTTACTCAGCCAAACATCCAGAAAGTGAACCATCACATGACATAGAAAGCCAGCTAATATTACTTACTAATCCGTAGAGGCTGATGAACCTTCCAGCGATTTAAAACCTCCTGTGTCTGCAGTGTGAACACTAACTCTATCCCTGTGCTTTAGCGCTAGCAGCAGTTAGTTAGCTATTTAAATAGGACATATCATGCTCATTCTCAGGTTCATAATTGTATTTTGTGTCTACCTTGCTTGCTAAATATTGGCATCTGCCATTGAAAAAATATGTATCGGACATAAACTGGCCATGTTAACTTTATGTTGCACTCGCACTTCTATTGGCTAGACTAGAGCTCCAAAACATTTTACATGATAGGCTAAGGGGCGGGACATCTTCAAGCGGTCGACCAACACACAATGCTGATCTGTTATGGCTCTGGTTTCAGACAGAGGGTGAAAAGAGGTGCTGCAGCACAGGCAGAATGAGAAAAAGAAAGAGCTTTCTGAACATTAAAGCATGGAGACATGTCCCAGTAGAGTAGACAAAATCCAGACCCAACCTATCACTGACAAGTGCTACTGATTCACGTTCTGCTATAAAAGCCATTTGCTCTCCCTCATCCTCTTTGTACCGATGTGTGTCTCCAGGCTCCAGGTGGAAGGGCATGTCCAACCAGGAGAAGCAGCCTTACTACGAGGAGCAGGCGAGGCTGAGCCGGCAGCACCTGGAGCGTTACCCCGACTATAAGTACAAACCCCGGCCCAAACGCACCTGCATCGTGGAGGGGCGGAGGCTGAGGGTGGGCGAGTACAAGGCCATGATGAAGAACCGCAGACAGGAGCAGAGAGCCACCTACACACACAGGTAACAATACACTGAGTGTGGCGGCTCAATTTCCCGTTCAGTTTGAGTCGACGAGAGGCTAAGCTTGGCTATAAGCTGCGACACGTTTTCTATGAGCAAGTCCATACTGAAGTACGATAGTTTGATGATATTTAATAAACAAAATCAACATACAGTAACTATAGGGACAAAACGGTCAACAGAAAAAAGGACAGCACAAGCTCACCCTCTGTCATCCGCACTCGACATGCAACAGGTGACCTAAATACACACCCATGTGACAAATAACGGAAGTGCTAAACAAATAAAAATAAAAGTGATGTAAACAAATAATAATAATACAAATAATAAACTCAGGCTAAGTAACATTGTGGCTCTTACACTGAGACTTTACTCCATTGACTATTCTATTTTAATTGTATTTACTTTTTTGCACATTGTCAAAATATCCTTTCGCCTCCATCTACTTGTCTGTCATCCTTTCTTTATAACTAATGCTGTTGATGTATTGTGATTTTAAAAAGGTGTCTGTTATCATCTGGCCGGGGACAACATCTGGAAATTAGCATGTTGGCTAAAGCTAATGCCCCATTTACTGTTTTTTGTGACAGGTGAATGGGGTCTGTCCACAACACTATACACAAATAAACTAAACTAAACTATCTTGCACTATTTTATCAGTTGTATTTGTTCTATGTCCTATATTCATGTTGCACTGTTGGAGGAGCCTGTGACTTCAGTTTTTCATTGTCATATCTACACTGTAGCCATACTTGTCAACACTCCCGATTTTCGCGGGAGACTCCCGATTTCATTGCCCTCTCCCGGCTTCCTCCCGGGGTCATATTTCTCCCGATTTCTGACAAAATCAGATTTACTCAGGACTGTTTCCACTCGGACTTTAATACAGCTACACCATTGTTTGGTTTCCATGGTAACACGTCTCTTTAGTAGTGCGCAACTGAAAGTCTGAGAGGGTGAGGCAGATAGTCACAGAACTAGAATCGACAACTCTACTCTCTGCTCACTCCTATCCAGCCCACACATATGCTCCATCAAGGATGGTGCTTCAGACAGTGCATTTACAACTACAATAAGCATGTTAATGTTAATCTAACAGCTCCGGCGATCCACTAGCACCCCCCCCCCCCGCGGTGGTTTTGAAATGCTCCCGATTTCTGTGGTCTCAAGGTTGGCAAGTATGACTGTAGCTAATGTGCAAATGATAATAAAGCCTTGAAACTTGAGGGTTCTCCGCACCTCCACAAACTGTAGTCAATTCATAGTTCCCAAAGCTTGTCTTTTATTCGTGAAGACACAGAGTGAATAACAGCCCGACTGAGGTATCAATACTTCTCTGTTATCGACGATGAATAGCATCCTGCCGCCATTGTTTAGCTAAATCCTCCGACTAGTGAAGCTGCAGCTGTCCACAGTGGTTGGTGTTTAATGTGTTTCTGTTTCTACCTCCATCTCTTTCTCTCTATTGAGAAATAATAATAACAGGATGTCGCAATGGCCTTCGACTTTATCTACATCGCCTTATTCAAATACGTTTAAATGCACCTTGGGAGTTTTATTTAACTTTCCCTCGCAACTTTTCAGTACAAAAGCTTGTACCTTTTGTTGCAAACAGAATAGCAGAAGTGTTTATATTCTGCACTGAATAGTTTGAAGCCTCCTTCATAACTTTGTTGAATACAAATTAAAAACCAACATTTGTTTTTGCATGTCTATTCATTCAGTTTAAACCTGGTATTTTTGCACAGTTGCAGACAAAAGTTAGTGTAAATATTAGTCTTATGATATTATGTGTACAGTCCACTGCTGGATGTGTTGGATTGTTTATGATCCAAACACTTTCAATAACTAAACTTTATTTTTTTTTAAATTCGAACTTCCCAACATGTCTTTATCGAATAATATGTACCTCTTCAATCTGTATTTGTTTGTTTGTTTGTTTATTTAAAGCAGTGTTTCTCAAACTTTTTCATACCAAGGACCATTTAACCAATAAAAAAACACTCGCGGACCACCTAACTCCACAATTATGAAAAAACACATAGTTTTTCTAGAACAGATTAGAAATCGCCTGAAAATGGTACAAACATGTGGCAACATGTGTGACGAAGGTGTTGCACTGGGCTTTATCATGCAATCGAAAGTGAAACTTAACCTTGCTCCATTGCGGAGATATTCCCGCGAGAGTGCGGAAAACTTAAATGTATTTATTTATTTCAAATGTGAAATGTTACCAATATACTCACGGACCACTAGGGGGCACTCACGGACCACCAGTGGTCCGCGGACCACACTTTGAGAAGCACTGATTTAAAGGACAGTGCACATTAATCAACATTGCTGTAAACGTGCCAGTATTAGCCGGCAGGCACATTTTCAACTGTTGTCCTTGGCAACCATGTCATTTGATGGTGTTTAGCCTTTCAAAAACATGATCATCCTGATAAAAATAATAATAATAATTCACGTATTTCTTGATATGTTTATTACCTACACTTAATGTATGAACATGAATTTGTATTCTACGCAAAGTGCATCTGTTAACGAACTACGTTTTTTTTTTTTAAAGAAACAGATTGAAGGTGATTCCTCCCACAGATTTATTAACGAGTGTATTTCCTGTCTTTCAGTCAAACGGACCCTCAGCAGCTCCACTACCCTCACAGCGAGGGTCCGTACCCGGGCGCTACCGGCTCAGTTTCGGTGGCGAACCTCTCCTTTCACCCCGCGCTGCTGGAGCATTACCTGCCGCAACCCCCGCCCACTCTGCGCCGAGCCGAGGGCCAGGCCACGCCCACTTCCCTGCCCAGAGAGAGGGAGAGGGAGAGAGAGAGGGAAAGACCTCCGTACAGCGAGGGGGAGGAGAGCGATGGAGGGGAGAGGAGTGAGGGGGAACTGGTGCTCCTCACAGACTGAAATGGGTGAGATGGAGGTGAGGGATGAGAGGGGGGGAGGAAGGGTGATCTTCTGTCAGAGAAGAAGAAGAAAGGAGAAGAGCTATTGAAAAGTGAAGACACGTCATTGTCACACCCTTGTAAAGTAATTGTTTTAGTGACCTACACACACACAAAAAGGCAAGCTCTTATCATTTCCCTTCATTGACATGTCATCGGTTACTTTGTTTCGTCATATTTGAAGGTATAATGTAGAAAGTTTATCCTTTAATCCCCTTAGCTTCTTGTTTTCCTCCCCGTGTTGACTTGTTTGCATTCATCGGAGGAGAGGCTTACTAGCATCCCTGTTTTCACCTGCTAGATTTGTAATATGTCCGTGCTGCCCCCTGCTGGTGAATGCCGATTATTACATAATGTAAACACCCCAGAGGAGTAGCATTTAACAAATGTAAGGCATAGGGCAGGTTGTGTGGATAATAAGCTAAATCTAATTTAAAAGTGAAGATTAAAGGAGAACAATTAACAGATTAAAGGTGTTTTTCAGCTATTTAGTATTGCACTTCTATAAGAAATTGGGGGAACAAGTTTTAATTTCCAAACATTTTACAACACAAGACATTTGACTAAGTCATCTTGGGGCTTTGTTTGACATTTCTTACCGTTTTCTGACATTTTTCAGACAAAAAACGAATAATGGGCTGATTCATTGACAACAATTACGAAAAATAATTGTAAATTGCAGCACTAGCAGCTGTCAATCATTGCTTTACAGTCGGATAGAAATCTGTGTGGTAAATGTTCCAGTCAAGGCAAGGCAAAGTTTATTTGTATAGCACATTTCATCAGGTTTAAAAAAAAATGCATTCAACCAGGAAGAAAAGCAGAATTCAATTATTAAAATGCTAATTTAAAGAATACAAACTTATTAAAATAACAGGATAAGTGAGGGATCTAACACTGCAACCAATGGTTTACAATCAGACGGCCAATTTTAAAAGTGTCCTTTCCAGATAAAGTACACAAACGATCAATTTAACCCTCCTCTTCCTCATTTTCCCACATCATGCTGTTCAGTTTCGCTGTATCTGCTGTATTTGTGTTTCCATCAGTTGAACTCAGCCTCACCTGTTTTTTTTTTTATACCTCTATGTTTGCTTCTTTGAGTGTTAATTGATTGTCGTGTTGAGCACCTCCTATCTGTCTCTCCGAATGTCAGGTGTTTGTTTTTTGCCACTTTTGAGATGCAGCACTGCAGAAAATATCCACATACTATACAGATATAAATGTTGTATGTGGGTATTTTCGTCATGTTCTTGGTACTATAGCGCATCAGGAATTGTTCCAAGATGTTTCACGGGAAATATTTAAAACAAAATTATAATTTCTTGCAGTGACAGATCAATCGGCCTCCTGTTAGATTAAGGTGAAGCTCCATCTGTTGTCTTCTTAATTCATCTTTAATTTTCCTGTTCGACAGAGATCTAACCATATGTCACATGTTGTTCATTGTTAGGATGTAGCCTAACTAGCTAGAGTGGCTACAAAGACAGGGAAAAAAGGTCAATTCATGGTTATGAGTTGTTGACAGTGCTACCCAAAGTGAAAGGATTGGAAATAGAAGCAGGAGTTTTGGGTGGCTGACACAATGTTTAACTTAATGAGAACACCAACACCAAAATCATCCATGTAGTACATTGTTAGCTATGATGCTACGAGCTAACATTTTAGCTTGCTGAGGGATGTTAGGCCCTATGTTAGCACTTAGCATACACTATGGTATTTTATAGCAATTACTGATGGTTGGAATCAGTGTATTGATGTTCATTGTCTTAAAAGTATGCTAAAAACTTTTGTTGCTAAAGCATACAAGTTTGTAAAAGTAGGCTTAGGGAATGTAATCGCAAGCAGTAAAAAAGTCAGGCTAGCTAAAAACGAACAGTCATTACAATTATGCTACTGTTTAAAATCCACCATCCTAAGTGACTTAAGGATCCAAATAGACTGATTTAGTTTACCTACAAGCTTTAGGGTTGAAATAAATCTTACATGAACTGTAGCTTCTATTGTGTTATGAAAATATCACAGTTTAACCTAAATGTAAGATGTAAAAAAGTGTTAATGACTAGCTAGCATCTGCTTGACCTCTTTCCATTTCATGTGAGGACGTTTTGGAGACTGTTTTATCCTAAAATCATTGTTGTAAGACATACAAATAAGGACCAGGAATAAACTAACATCATTATCTTCACTATGTCTAGCTAGTAGCATGTTGCCATTAGCCTGTAGAGCTACTTTGCCTAGCTCTTCTGAGCACATGGCTAGTTTTGGTGTCTTTGTTCTCATCACGCCATAACCACAATGACCAATACAACCATTTAAATCAAACTAGTGTCTAAATAGCACTGGGTCAATCCACCTTTAGCTAACTAGCTAACCGCAAGGATGACAAATCAAAATGGAGGGAAAAGATACATTTCAGACATCAGGGTTTGGGGTTCAGGACTGTGTAAAGATGCTGGATTTTGTGCAGAGATGGATATCAGAGGACAAATGTTTATCTTATTTTAGTGGAGATATGCTGAGGAGTCACCTGTCTTTACCCCTGCTGATGTAAATATAGAAAGAGACTTTATTTTGTTTATAAGAGCCTGTGTAATTTAAAGGTGTACGTTTCTTTATGTTTTCAGAGTTTTGTGTTGTATTTTTTTTTCTTTCTTGAAAGACAATAAATTGGTTGTGCTAAATGTGTTTGGAGTGAATTATTTTTGTGTGTGTTTGAGACAGGGTTCAGCTGGTTCAGTAATTACTCTGCTTCATCACTAAGGTCTACCTGAGGTCGTTCCCACAGCAACACTCTGCTCTTTCCAGCTCATCCCTGCATTTAAACATTACATTAGGGAACAGCGTATTCTTCCATGCTGTATTTTCCCCTGAAGTCTCTCAGCTGGTATGAGCATGTCATATAAACTGATTAATAACATTGGATACGCCTTGGTCGACTGTAATATTGTCCCTTTACTTTTTAACAAGAGGAAAGTGGACAGCTGTACTAATAACACTGATTACAGCCAGGGGCGCCGCCAGGGATTTTGGGCCCCATGAAAAGATAATCACATTGGTTACTGTTGGGGAATATTTTACAAGGCCCATAACTTTGACCCAGTTTATCAGTTCAAACTGTCCTGAGCACACGCACCTCGTAACCTTGGCTGCTGTGCTCGCAGTGATCTGTCTCCCTGTTCCTGCCAGCTGAGGTGTTATGATTCTATCTTGTTATGCAGCATGTTGATGATTCTCTCGGAACTAGCTAAATACATGGGTCTGGGGTAGAGTTCTTGAGAATTGACGTGGCAACTCTACCGTGCAGTCAGATCGTGGCTGCTGTGACTTGTGATGTGAGTTCTCCGGCCGAAAACATTTTTTTCTTAATCTTCTAAAATAGTTTGCGCCCCTGTCAGTCACGGGCCCTTAGAATCGTCCTAACTTTTCACCCCCTTACGGCGCCCCTGATTACAGCTGCACTTAAATCAGGTTCAGAGTGTTCTGCATGTTGTCTCACTGGAACTGATGCATCTCAATGTATTAGAGGCTAAGTGTATTTAATCACATATGCATTTCCTGTATGAGATAAGCTCAATAACTGTTGTTATCAAATAGGTCACATTTCAATTTTCCCACCTGTCTTCGAACTACATAAATAGCTGCAACACATTCACATGATTAGTAGCTGTTAATACTTTAATACTGTGTGTATGTTTTGTGCTAACTAATACAATAAGATGAACCCATCCCAGTTTAATTCTTATATCAGGATCATATTCAAGTTTTGAAGTTACTGTATGTTGCATGCAAATGAGGCATCATCTGTACATTTGCATACATTAAGGCAACAGACAACTATGTAAAACTTAGCAAATATACATTAGAAGCCGTTAAAAACAATTGATAGGCTTTATATTTGTTTAAATATGCAAATGAGGATCCTACCAACACCACATGTATCTGTGTGTGTGTGTTTTCTCCTTCCTTCTGCTGAGGCCAAGTTAGCAAGTCAGCTGTCACCCACATAAGGTGGAAACTAAAGTGTCAATAAGTCTTATTTTGGTACTTGTATGTATTCCCAGAACTACTAAGAGCAGACAAAAGAAAACAGACATTTTTTGTATTATTTTATACATTTTAATGGAAATATTTACTGACAACTGTTAAATATTTAATCTTGCCACTCCTACAGAGGTGTGAAGGATCACTGTACAGTAAGCTTTTCACAGTATTTCTTACAGTATTTACATCCTCCCTGTGGATGAGCACATTTACAACTTCACATCTGCAAGCTACACGCCGGCTCCCTTCACACAGCGCTTTAAAAGCATTTACAAAAAAGTAAATATCAGCGTACAAAGAGAACAAAATAATCAGTTATCTGTACAGTGTTTCTTCAAGATTAGTCAAATCACACACAAAATCTCACGTGAACTGCAATGCAAACCCTCTGAAGCTAACCATGTTGGTATGATTAGAAAAACAGACAACACGGTGTGAAATGTTAAGATTCACTCAATAAATAAACCCTGTTAAAACAACATATAAAGCCCTAACATTAAGAAAGACGCATCGAATGTATGGATGATTATTATTAGTACGTCTAAACACACCAACTTCCCGTTTGGATTATTTTCAATTGTTAATAAGAGGTTTTAAAGTACGACAATGTCCCTAAAGCATTTATTATTCAGATTGTATTGTAATGGTCTGTAGAGCTACGAAAACGTCCAAATTGATTGTAAATGCAGTCAACAGTGCACAACCTCACACTAACTTTTTGTGGTTAGGAAAATAAATTACAACTAAGAACATTTAGAAGAGAGATCCGCTTTCCCCTCACTGTAGTGCCTAGGGATAATGAACTATGTCTTTGTTATATCCACATATGCACCTGAAACTATTTGGGATTTAGGCTGGGTTGTACCAACAATAATTATTATTTTTAAACCTGAACCAAACAAGGTTTAAATCACATTGCACTAAAATGTCAACCTAGCTTTGATAAAAAAAAGTCTAAAATGTAAACCTCTCTTAGTTTTTACTCTCAACGTAGATTTAATTTGCTTTCCTGTAACCCAATTCAGTTTTAACTTCATTTTTAAAATCTCAACCGAATAGAGGTTAGAAATGTTTCTGAATCTGTTACGGAGACTGTACAGAAGAGGATTAGGGCCACATGTGAAATAGTTGTCAGACAAAAATCAGAATTCTGAGATAAAAGTAGGAATTCTGACTTTTTCTCAGAACAAAAAAGTCATCGAAAATCACTTTTGGTCAGAAAAAAAAAAAAGAATCAACATGTGACCCTCATCCTGTCCCATAAGACTTTCTGTGCTTCGGCCGGAAAGTATTTCTCTCAAGGAGAACCTCGAGCCAACATGAGTAACGTTTCTAATTTACTCATGTGTACCTCAATTCTGAGCAGAACGTGTTTTAGCTCCAGCACTTCACATTACTGTATGCTAGCATGTTAAAGTGTAATTCCCAAGTAACCTAAATAAAGCTGTCCTCACTATTAATGATAATTAGGGCTCTATGATTTCCACTAGGCTTTAGGGACCTCTGTGAAGTTAATGGTGAATTATTCAGTGCAAATGGACTTATTATCAGTGCGGGATTACTACTATTAGGAATGTGCGTTCAAGCCCTTTTTAGGCAAATCTACTAAACAAGCTATTAGTGACATAAAATAGGGGCCTCTTGATTATCATTGATTCCATATATATCTCATATATGAAAGCTAAGTAACCCATTTATGAGTTATATAATTCACATTTTGGATAATCTGATCTTCACGTCTAAGGATGAGAACCACGGTCTCATTTGAAACATACATGTGACCTTTCTCAGGTTAACGGTCTCTGCTGCTGCTCCACTTTGAAATGATTAAGCCCATCAGTTACATGAGAGCTGCAGGAGGACACAGGTCAGATCTCAGTGTCTCCCCCTGCTGGAACTGGTGATCAAAGAGGAAACATCTCTGGAGCCCAGCATGAATCAACTCAGATTCATTCATGAATCTGTTATCAGTCCAATCAGATCAGTCATTGGTCAATCCTGTGCTTAAGGTCGTTATGAAGAAAGTGCTTGTGGTGAAACTCACTGAGACTCAGCGTCACGGTACCTCACATATAGAACTATAGGACCTTTTCTTTTAAGCCTATAAAGATTGTAATTCAAGGCCAATTGAGGAAATATGTTGCCATGTAGTATTATACTCTTAAACTTTGAGGAGCCAGAATATGAAAAAAGGACAAGAAAAGAATGAGTAAGGGCCACCCCGCTGATTTGAGACAAATATCAGTTTACTAGATATTAGCTTGTAAAAACGGTTAAATGTCCTCTGTGGCTCTTAAGAAGCTTGTCAAGTCACTCAAGTAGAGATAAGGGGTCCCGTCTCTTTATACATCCATGGTTAGTAGCCTGGAGCAGAGGTAAGGTCACTATGTGCCACTAATGCCTTAACAGAGCTCCCTTAGCAGACACTTAAGGCTTTATACAAGCTGCGGTGCAAAATCAGCCAAGTTGTCGTTTTCTTTACTTTTTCTTAGATGATTATATATCACAGGAGTGTCACATGACATGCTTTTCCATCCAAGTAATAATAGTGATCTTATAACTGCAACACTGCCCCACATAGATAACTCATTAATGCCTCATTTTGTAAGCTTTGACCCCGGATATAAGTTATGCAACGTCTGATTATGTCCAGGTGTGGGATGAGAATGGATTTGAGTTGAGCTGAGAGCTGCCTCTGATGTTAGGATGCTTCAATCTGAACAGCTTTAGGTTAAGTGACATGAGGGAGCAGAGGAGGTGGGGGGGGGGAGGTAGTTGAAAGTGAGGCTGAGGATTGGAAGGTTGTGATTTTCCAACAGGTCTGGAAGGTTTGAATGGAAAGTTTAACGGAGCGATTCGATGGAACCATAAAAGTCAAAAAGGTGGAAAAGTGTTTGAGGGCAGAAACACACACACAGGTTTACACAGGTCTCCATCTCCGGCTTCAAATCACTCCCCAATCCAACAGGAAGCTAACCGCAGCTGTTGCACCTGAGATGTTAACTAACCCAAAAGGTGTCCACGTAAATAAATATAATGCACATTTTGCTACTCTCTATCACCCATTGCTAGAACACAATAGTGATGTGACCTGCCGCCAAAAGCTTTTCCATTTGCTGTTCCACACATTCAGCGTCAGGTAGGACACACACACACACACACACACACACACACACACACACACACACACACACACACACACACACACACACACACACACACACACACACACACAACACACACACACACACACCACACACACACACACACACAACACACCACACACACACACACACACACCACACACCACACAACACACACACACACACACACACCACACGCACACACACACAACACACACACACACACACACGCAGCAGCAGTTTGCATGGACTACATCAAGAGGAACTGACAGGAGCTCAAACTGCAACAACACAAAGAAAATAAATCAGAGGAATGACGACAGTGTTTGATGCAGTAGAGGAATACTTGGCATCAAAGCTGGAGTAAAAAGAGGAAGGATTAGGAGTTGAAATGTCTGCAGACAGGAAGAGGAATGGTCTCATCACACACACATATGCAAAATGGGAGGAGTGCAAGATGAAATGCCATGGACACGGAGAGACGGACAAACTATGTGCATCAAATCGTCCCTCTTCTGACCTTCATAACCAGCGCTGTGGAACATTCCCCCAGAGACAGACATAACTCAAGTCTGCTGTGTCTACCCTAAAGTCACACTTCTGCGCCTAGTTCAGCTTCTGGAAGAGGGCTTCATCATGATAAATTAAGAAACATACACAAGCGTTCTCTCACACACATACACACAGGACCCAATGGAAGTTGTATCGCTCTCGAGCGAGAGGTAAGTCGCAGAGCAGAGTAATTGCGCTTGTTGCGGGAAAAAAGGAAGCCGGGTAGACGGAGCAGCGCTGCATCGACAGCTGGCTCACAGAAGAGTTCCCGCCCCACAGGAAGTGGCAGCAGGAAACCTGTCTCACCCTCCTGTCTGCCTCTCTCTCCCCCCGTCCCTCATTCTGGGATCTGCAGAGCCATCAGTGCAGGTTTGGTCTCAAAGTATTGGTTGAAACGTAGCACAGCGTACCTGAGAGAGAGAGAGAGAGAGAGAGAGAGAGAGAGAGAGAGAGAGAGAGAGAGAGAGAGAGAAGAGAGAGAGGAGAAAGAGAGAGAGAGAGAGAGAGATAGAGATATAGAGAGCCTATCTGGAGAGCTATCGAGAGATCGCAGCTACCTCTCGTCTCTCTGCTGCTCATCTCCTCTCTCTCTCTCTGCGATACTCTGATCGATCGTCTCTATAGGTGTGGTTTTTAATCGCTTAATGCAGCTGTGAATGTAAATCCTCTGGAAGGACATATGCTGTAACACCCCTTGTTGTTAAATACCAACCAACTCTGTGCAATATATATATATATATGCCGTTAATAACTGTGCAATATATACCTGGCTGCTAAATCCTCAGAACTGTTGCAGGATGTGTATTTTGTAAATTGTGTAACTGTTTCTTATTATCATTTTTGTATCTTAATATTTAGTTATGCTGCTTCTGAGGGAACATGAAGCTCTCTGGCTCTTTTCTGCTGTCACAATGTAAATGTCCGCTCTTACCTCATTCACACCAACGCAACTCCGGTTCAAGCTCCGTGCTAGAGCTTTTCAGGTTCAGAACCAGTTCTTCGGTTTAGCTCTGGCTCTCTTCACACCGCCCAGAGTCCGACTGGTAATGCGTCGTTGCGTCATCGTTTGCGTCATGACGTAACCGTTTGCGTGCCTGCTTCATAAAGCCAAACCGTGTGGATGAAATCAGTTGCATTCATTTCTTATGGCTCTATCTGCAGCGTTTCCGGAGTCATTTCTGTGGTTTAGTTATATTCTTATAAAAAAGTGTACTCGTGTCAATAAAGGTTTTTTTAAAACACAACTGCTTCCGAGGTCGGTCTTATTTCTTAAGGTGGACTGAACCATGAGTGTGGAGTCACGTTGTATCTTTCATTTAAATGAACTGTAACCTTCACCCAGGTATGTAACAGCTGTTCTCAAATGAACACGTGAAGTAAAGTTTAATATTTATAGTTTTATAGATTTATAATGAGTTATAATGAGAGGTGATCAACGTGAATGCTCAGGTTCCACCTTAACACGCAGACACGTTGCTTCACCATGAGCAGGAACCTTTATACAGTCTATGGCAGAAACACTGAAACTCTTGTTAAGTTTCTCCATCGTTGTGAACAAACTGGATAAAACGCGGGCTTTTTGTTGTTGTTCAGGAGTTGATCTGTCTCTGCCTCCGCCTCGACGTAAGCGTGACGTATGCGGTGCTTTTGCTCTGGCCGGTGACGTATGCGGTGCTTTTGCTCTGGCCGGTGACGTATGCGGTGCTTGAAACGAACCGGATTCCGGAGCTAAGAAGCTGCTCCGCTGCGGTGTGAAGAGGAAAACCCGGTGCTTTTCAAGCTCCAGCTCCGAACCGGCCCTGAAACACCGTTGGTGTGAATGAGGTAACTGTGGGGCTAATAAAGGGATTCTGATTCTGAGAGCCATCTATTTATTTATTTATTGAATCGTTTATTTGGCAGGGACAATGCACAGTGATGAACACTTAAAACATTACAAATGTGTCAAGCGTAACAGCGCCAGATTTAGCTTTGAGCTAATTCCCATCCGCAGTCCCTCACATAAAACATTTAAGAAAATAACTTTATACAAAAACAAAATACATAATATGCAAAAAGTGCAAAAGAGCAAGAGCAGCATACACAAGCATTTATCACATGGCAGTACAATATAGCAGCTACGATATATAAAGTGCAAGAGGGGATACAAGAGCTTAGGGCTGCTCAATTAATCGCACGATTTTGGCTTGCAACGATTATGAAAACAACATAATCGAAATAAAACGATTATTTTTTTATTGGTTTTTCAGTTGAATTATATTTAAAGTTCAGGGTAATCAACTGTTAAAAACATACTGTTCACATTTATTTTTTCAATAAATGGATGTTTTCAAAGTAAATGGATAATCGTTTTTAATAATCGTGATATCAATTGTTGACCCAAATAATCGAGATTATGATTTTTGCCACAATCGAGCAGCCCTACAAGAGCTACCTAAAGAGCAAGAGGAGATAGCCCTGTGTTAAAGTGCATTTAGCGGTGATCGCACGTCTGTCTGTCTCTCAACCGTTCTCTGAGTTGACCTCTATTGAGAGTGGGACAATCCCGTGTCTCAGCTGGGAGGCTGTTCCACAAAGAGCTGCCTTTAATGGAGAGGACATTTTGACTAAAAGTGGTCCGTCTGCGGTGGACTTCACAGTGTCCTCTGGTTTGTGACCTAGTGCAGCGTCCAGTGTGTTTCTGTGGATGAAGGGGGGGGGGCAGTGTCTGTGTTGAACTGTAGTGAAATCAATCTTTTTGTAGTGCCCGCCCACACAGAAAATGCACCACTTACATGTCAGTCTGAACCGAAAATTCATGCCAATACCAACGTAAGGAGTGCAATCCTGGCCGTGATAAAAAAACGAAATAAATGGTATATATACTTTGCATATTTGGCTAATGTAAACTAGCATGCTTGCTGGAAATCCGCTAACTGACCGACACACAATGCACCAGAGCTGTTGGTCGGTAAATGAGACTTGAATTATTCATATCAATTGAGAAGGGTGTTTTTCCAAATGACAGTCCACCACCAAAGAAGAGAAACGTATTATTCTCTTACAGTATTGGTACCGATCTATGTTGGTTTGGTGCGTGTTGCCAAGTGTTTATCTGCCATGGAGGTGTCTGCTTTCTATCCAATATAATATAACTAGATTGTGTTTCTCAAAGAGACAAAAACATACATTTGAGAAACTCAAAAGTGATCACTTTGCGACACCCGCAAACCTTAGGAGGGAAGCGTGCACTTAATCCTGGATAAGACGCTCTCATCAGATCACATGAGCAAGCTAACATTATATGTTACTTAGCTGATGCTTTTGTCTAAAGTGTCTTAAAGTGGAGGAAGTAAGTATTTGATTATATACTTATTTCCCACAGTAAAATGCAGATCCATTTTTATCTTTTAAATCATGTCAATTTCTGGATTGTTTTGTTTTATATTCTTACTCTCACTGTTCAAATACCATTACAATGATAGACTGTTCATTTCTTTGTAAGTGAATTAACTTACAACATCTGCAGGGGATCAAATACTTATTTCCTCCACAGTACATACACGCAAACAGATTCCTTTCAGACACACAGTGTGGCCCATCTCTAACTTTATATCATACATGAGGGGGTTTGCCACACACAGCTCTAAATCTTTCCCACACACTCACACACAGCGACTTACCCCAGGAAGTCAAAGTCGATGGTGGAGTATTTGGCCTGGATGAGCGCCCAGAAGCCCCAGAAGAAGTGAGAAGCCTTCAGAGAGAAGAATCAGAATATCAGGTGGAGTGAAGTAACGTGAGACAAAGTGTGTGTGTGAGTGTGTGTGTGTGAGAGATACTGTGTGTGTGTGTGTGTGTGTGTGTGTGTGTCCTCCTCACCAGAGCAAACTTGTTGACCTGTACGTAGAGTGTCTCTAGCTCCCGCTCGCTGACCTCCGCTTTTTGTTTGTAGGCCTTAAGGTAAACTCTCAGCCAGTCCATCTGCATCTCCCGGCTCGGATACAGCCCGAAGTCCGGCTCCGCCATTCCTGAACACACACACACACACCACACACCCACACACACACCACACACACACACACACACACACAAACACACACACACACACACACACACACAACACACAACACACACACACACACACACACACACACACAACACACACACACACACACAACACACACACACACAGTTATCATTCTCCGTCCACAGCGATAGAAAACTGGAATTCTCTACCCACTAGAATCAAAGACATACATACATGTACCACCTTCACAGCTCACTTCAAAACACGGTTCACTGAGAACCTGCACAAACTCGTCTGTGTTGGATATGTGTGTTACATGTTGTGTTACATGTTGTGTTACATGTATGTGATCATGGACCCCTCGTTTCTGTTATGTGATTGTGATGTGCTATATCAGGGTTCCTGCAGGTTTCACCAACTCAAATGTAAGACTTTTTAAGACCACTTTGAATAGAATTTAAGACCTATTTCACAGCAAGAAAGCATGAAGGAAAATTGCTATGAAAGAAGAATACGTCCCATAATTACTTTCAAAGTAAATGTATTCACGTTCAACATAAGAACGATGACTGAACATGAACACTGAACTGTGTGTGTGTGTGTGTGTGTGTGTGTGTGTGTGTGTGTGTGTGTGTGTGTGTGTGTGTGTGTGTGTGTGTGTGTGTGTGTGTGTGTGTGTGTGTGTGTGTGTCAAGGGCTATCTTCTGAGCTCTGTTCCCTTGGCTACAATCTTTCATCGTTGATGTTTTAGGATTGGTGTTTAGCTACGGTATTTAGCGTCTACAGCACCTCCGCTTTTAGGATTGACGTGGACCCAAACGTCGCCCGCAGTGATCGCGTTAACTAGAGAAATCTAAAAGCAGTCTGTCATTTTGACGGATTAGAACAAACTCGGAACAGCGCAAAAGTTTCCCCGCAGCGAGGCTCTGGTGTTCGCCGTGTTATGCATGCCCGCCCAAAAGGAAATGATATCGTTTCCAAACCGTACAGATCATTGACATGTCTGGGAGTTTTGACTTTACGCTGTGCGCGCTCCCGCGAGGTGCATGCATATCTCGGCGGGCATTCATAACACCGGCACAACGGTTCACGAGCATGCTCTCGCTAGCTGAAGCTTGGTTGCTCGGTTACTAGCTGGGTGTTCTCCGATAAGGGGCCGGGGGAAACAAAGTTTGTGATTACTGGTTCCATGTTGATTTATTTCAATACAAATTGTTGGGGGGAACTGAAAGGCTCTTACCGTACTGGTTACTTTGCAGCCCGGACATTTCCCCCAAAACACATTTAGACGTGATCGCAACACAGAAGTACCTTTCAAATCCCATCATTTTCAAGGCCTTAAATTCTGATTATCAAATGTAAGACTTGTTAAGACTTGTTAAGACCCCGCGGGAACCCTGT